GTCCCTCAGATGCATCTTGGCGTGGGCCTCGGACATGCGGATAATGCTCTCGATGTGTCGCACGGCGATGGGGACGCCCCCGCACTGTTTGCTTTCCCTCCGGAGGTCCACGTACAGCCGTTCGATCTTGTCCTGGTCCACGTCCTGGATCTGAGGCCTCACATTCGAACGGGCGTACATTATGTACTTGGTCAACAGCCGCTGGGACGGAGTAGCGGATGGAGTTCTGCCCGCGATCGGATCCTCTTCAGGCGCCGGCCCCGACTCCCCCCGTGTCGAAGCGGAGTGAGAACGCTGGTGCGAGCGGACCACGAAGTCTGCCAAGCGCTCGTCGGCAATCGGGTCGACGATGTCTATTACCGAGGAAAAAAAGGGGGGGGGGGCGGGGATCAGAAGGGCAGGTCCATTCATGTGTACAGATGCAGCAAAAAGGCATCTCTTTCCAAGCTCGGATAGCCCATCCTGGATGCCGACGGAAACGAAAAGCAGGCGGCCGTGCATTCAATGACCCCTTTTCCCCCTGTCTTCCCGAAACAATTCTTACTGACCTTGCAAGACGCAGAGCATGTCTAAGCGCTGTAAAATCGGATCCGTTAGCTCCACGTTCTCGGCGAATGTCAGCGAGGAATCATATCTTCCCCCAATAGGGTTCGCGGCCGCCACGACCGAGCAGCGTGCCTGCAGGGAGGTTACGATGCCCGCCTTGGAGACAGAGATGGACTGCTGCTCCAAGGCTTCGTGAATGGAGGTTCGGTCGCTATCGTTCATCTTATCGAACTCGTCGATCAGACACATGCCGCGGTCCGCCAGGACGAGCGCCCCCCCCCTCCAAGGTCCACTCTTTCGTCATGGGGTCTCGATGCACGCCTGCCGTTAGACCCACCGCGCTAGCCCCCTTGCCTGTGGTGTAGACAGCTCGAGGTGCGACTTTCTCCAAATATTTCAGGAATTGCGACTTGGCGGTACCAGGGTCTCCTAGCAGTAGGACATTGATATCCCCGCGGATCCTGTGCTTGTTGTAGACATTCTTCTCCACGCCCGAAAAGAGGGCAAGGAGCAGGGTAAGCTTGATCTTGTCGTGCCCGTGGATGGAAGGGGCAAAGGCGCTGCCAGGCGGTGGTGTGCGAAAAGGAGGAGGAGATCATTTGAATGCATGGAACATACACTTGCGAGTCTCATGGACGAGGACCCCTGTCTACAAGGGCAGCTATGCAAGCCCCCGCGGCCTGGATGAGAACTCCCACGCTAACGCACCTGGTCAGCAGCTCCGCCGTGTTGGGGGCGGCGGCGATGCGATGGATGTCCGCCTTGTCGTCGTCGGTGATGTGGAACATGCTGAAGAGGTCCTCCCGCTTGTGGATGTAGTTGGCCTCGATGCAGGTGCTGAAGACGGGGAAGCCCCCCTTCTGCTTCCCGCTCAGCCCCTCAGCCCGGTACTTGTAGGTGCCGGTGACCTCAATGTCCTCCCCAGGCCTTGCCCTGTCGATCAGGTCGGCCGTGAGGATGACTTCCTTGTACCGAGGCACACGACCGGCGGGCACCGTCCCGGGAGACTCCTGCAGAACAATTTTTTGGTAGTTCCTAGGAGGGGGGAGGGAGAGAGGAAGGGGGGGAGGGAGAGAAGAAAGGAGAAAGAGAGAGCCTTTGAGGACGCATAGCCACTTCGTACCGAGACTGCCGTCGCCGCGCCCAATGCGCGGTCCTACGCCGCTACGAAGCGAGCGGGTAAAAGGACATCTGCTCCTTATTCCCCCGCAGCGCCCCACAAGACATTCCTTCCGACAATATTCAAGCTTGTCAGGCTCTGGAGAGTCCCGTCCTCCTCACTTCGACCCCTTCTCCAGGCATTTTTCCCGCGCCCTACCTGTACACCGTGGCCGCCTGGTTGATGCGAAAGCTGCCCGTGCGCTCGCACATGATGCAGAGCTCGGGGCGGAGCTCGGCCCCTTCCGCCTGCTTGAAGGGTCCGACCGAGTGCTTGCAATGCGTGCAGTCGAAGGTGACGCTCTGGACCTGGGGGAAGACCTGCGTGCGACGAGTGACCACGCCCACGACCCGGACGAGTTTGTTCAAGTGGGACTGGCGCAGGAGGCGGAGGGAGAGGACGATCTGATGGCCCACGATGCGGACGTGCACTTGGTCCCGCAGCATGGCCTTGTAATGTCTGAAGTGCTTGAGCACCACCTCGTTCGCGACCTCGTCGAAGACCTGCGGGCACAAAGGGAGGGGAGAGAGGGACGCACATGGTTGGAAGGAGGCAGGCTGCAGAGAATACCACGCGACTCCCAGAATCTCTCTATGGTTTCCCGTCCCTCACTCTCTCCCTCCCGCCCTACCTCCAGAATATCTTCCGGGGCGTCCATCAGCCAGAGCGCCAAGGTGGGCTGCTCCTCCCGCAGCACCTCGTAGTGCACCTCCAGGCTAGCCATGTTCGCGGCGCACATGTGCCGGATGGCGTCCATGTACCTCAGCCGGTTGCTACCGTCCTTACTGCCCTCCAGCAAAGTCCTAAAGCGGCGCTTGACCTCCCGCCGCGTCCGGTCCTCGGCGATCCATTCCCGCAAAGGCACATCATAGGCCTCTAAATTGAGCTCTTCGTCCTCCAGCTCCATCCCTTCCAACTCCAGCTGCTGCTGCCTCCGCTGATCGAACATCCCGCGACGCCTGTCCCTCGCCTCTTCGTCCTCGTCGCCGTACCGGTCCAGAATATCGTCCAGGCGGCCTCTTTGCTCGGTCCGCTCTGCTATTTCCGCTTCCGCCGCACGTCGGGCGTCGAAATCCATCGCGCTGTACTCACGATGGTCCAAATTCCCCATATCGTACGTATCGAGTTCTGGAATTGCCACGTAATCTGCTTCCATATTCTCCATCAGGTCCTCTCCCTCCTCGTCGCTGAGTCCTGCGTCTAACCCATCTGGGTCCTCATCCGTCACAGGCTCCTCCTCCACCCCTTCCTCTTCAATCACTTCCTCCAAGTCCGACGCAGCGTCCAGCTGCTCAACATCCCCAGGTAATGGAGACAACGGCGGGGCTAAGGGAGGTGGTGGAGGAGCCATGTCCTCTTCCTCATCGTCCGAGTCCATCAGCACACGCCGACGCTTATTTGCCTCGCCTCCCTCTCCTCCTCCCTCTCCACCTTGTCCAAAGCTGCTCATAAAGTCTTGGTATTGGGACTTCAACTAAAAATACGTGCGAGTTCATACCAACGGTGATGTGGGTAAGTATATTCCATTTTCCTTCCACATGCTGACTGCTCCCGGGCGGTGGCTTCAGCTTATTCTGTATTCGTCCTTCCCGCCAAAAAAAAAGAAATATACCCTATGAAAAACACACCGCCGCAATCATGGCGTGAAAACAGTCATTGAGGAGATACAAAGGCACTGTTGTTTACACGCCCTCACTCAAGCCGCCAGCCCAACCTGCCCCCGCCTTGTGAGTGCAGGTCTTTGTGGACATCGTCTGCTCGTCGTCGCTGGGAGGGTCGAGCGACGCGACGGCGATCGCGACGCCAGAACATGCCATTCGGGGGCTTTTGAACGAAAGGCCCTTCCTCCGCTCTTGATTTCCTCGTCGACAGTCCTGCGGGTTCAATGTTGCATTTCGGGGCTTGTGGAAGATATTGCATTGGCTGCACTGAGTTCGTCATTGCTTTTCGCTTTTTTTGAATGCTGCCAATGAGGTGCCCATGCCCATATCGTGTCTAGCACTTGCCATGACCCGCATCACGCTCACAAATTCTCATGCTCGCCACGCACTCCAGACCCTACGAGAAAGTACCATAAAGATGGTTTGTGACGACAAGCGAAAAGTGATCGCCTACTTGTGGTACTTGAATGCCCTCCTCTCCATCGCTTACGTTGTAGTCGCTATTGCTGCAGCCGCCAACCAGAAAGACCTGGAGACGGCCACCACGAACCATGCCGCAGGTTTCGCTGCCATTTGGTCCATGCTTATCTTGTTCCTTATTATCATCGGCGGAACCATCACCATGAAGCGGGTACGTAGACCGGTCCTTTCGAGTACGACGAGACCAAGAACAAATTCGCCCCCTGTCGATGCATCCCTGTCCGACATGCTCCACCTATCGACATTTCCTCCACAGCTAAAGACGCCTATTGCCACCGGTGTCTTTCTGGGCGCCTGCATCATGTACTCGCAAATGCAGCTCTTGCTCTTCGCTATCTTCGTAGGCTTGGCGCAGACCTCGAGCGGGGACGTGGAGAGGCGGAGCAACAACGCCATGGCGGTCTTTGCTTTCTTCCTCTTCATCCTCTACACCGTCTTTTCGGTCTGTCTCTACTTCTTTCGACACTACGTCATTGACGGTAGGCATCGGGAGGCACGACGGGCGGTGCCACCGTGGAGGCAGGAAGGCTTGTGCCATGGGTTTCTGATGCATGACGCATGAATGTTGGCAAAGGCATTTTTGCAATTATGTGTCCTGGTGGCACAGAGGACTCAAAGTTTCTTTTTGTTTTTACGTCTCCCATTGAAATTGATAGATGCGCCAGCTCCCGCGGAAAACAGCTATGCCTAAAGAGTTCGGCGAGTTGTGATGTGAGGAGTGACGAGGCAGGGTTTTATACAAAGAAAAAGATAGAAAGACGGCGCAGTAGGGCAGACAGGATGTTGCCGGAGGAGGGGGATGTATGAGGAGGAAGCGCGGAGAGGCGATGGAAGGTTGCAAAGGTAGCAGTGAGCCAAGGGAAAGCAGGGAAGGCGTGTCTGTACATGGACCGATGAAAGCACGCGTGTATGACGCGTGCGGGCAGTCAAGTGGATTGATGTTCGCGCTTGAGAAAGCTCCAGGGCCCGGTAAAAGAGCTGCCCTGTTGAAGCTGTCTCGCACGTGGAGGTGCGTGTTCGGAGAGAAAGAGGACACGCATGCATTCAAGGAGTGCTCAAATGATGGGAGGAGGACAAGGCCCGCAACAGCACGCATTCAATCGAAAAGAAACAGCGCTCAGAGCAACTCCTGACTCGGCAGATAGGAGTTTTTCGGCCGAACCTCTTTCCTCTTTTTTGTCCTATTCTTCCTCTTCCTCATACCTTATTTCCTCCAACACATCATTTATGCGACATACAACATGTCTGATGTTCGTTTCTAACCGTCTAGCGCCTTCACGCAAAAGCATTGCTTCCCGCCCGTCAGAATTTTCATTCCCTGCAGCGCCACTGCACGTGGAAGTCGCGAGTCTAAACTTTTCCAGATGCAGGGCGGCTGTGAGAGACAGTTTCTCCTTTTCTTCCGCTTGTATTCGACGAAGTAACCTTGCCAGAACTACTCTGTTGTAGGGATCCCTCCCCAGGCACTCCGCAACCGCGTTCACAAGGTTGCTCAAAACTGCGAACTTGGCCGTAGCTTCCGCGCACAATGCATCGTATTCAGTGAATGCCCGTGACGACAGAATTTGGGCCAAGCCCTGATCAAAAAAATTGTAGGCTTGAACGCGCTCCTCCTGCGCTTGCCGGAAGGTTTTCACCAGTTCCCTCACAGGCAACGCCGTCAACCCCTCCTGCAACTTGTGCACGCTCTGTTGTGCCTGGGCCTCAACGGAGAGGATGGTTTCCTCCTTGTTCGATGGGTGGGTAGACGTCTCTTGAGGTGGTTCGCAGGCGTGCACGCTCTCAGAGGAGGGAGCCGACGGTCGCAGGTCTATCACCTGCCCCAGGAGGCACCCCTCCTGCACCTCTTCCTCGGAGTGATGGTGCCTTTGACTTCCTACCTCGCAGCTTTTTCGTCCCGCTAATATTGCCGAGCACTTACCAAAGTCCATGCGTAGACTCTCCTGTTCATGGGGAAAATAAGTGAGGTGATGCCGGTTGCGTCCCGGTGCGTGCAACTTCCTCGCCAGCCTCAGCGAGAGCAACGTCTGAGTGCAACATGATGTTCTCGCCTCGGACTTAAGGATAAGATCGCACGTCGACCATCCAACTGCGAATTCTGCGCAAAAATTAAATTCATTGCCTCTACCCAGGCGTTAATAAACGAGGGCCATCAGACTTACCGAGGGAAAAGCATTCTATATCTTCCTGCGCATCCTCACCTCGGTATCATGATGCTCCACTCCACACCGAACCCTACGATCAATGGCACGATAGTCCTCCTCCACACACATCCCAAAATCTTATCAGGCCCTGATAATGCCATCTCCGATGAGCTTGACCCCGGCATCGCAAGCTTTTTTGGCCCAGATCTTCCCTCCGAACGCGCCCCCTGCAAGAGACATGCCTCTCGACGTGGGTCGGGCCAAGATGGAGGCGGCCGCACGGGCATTGGGGGGGCCATACCTAAGCGTCCGACGCGTGGAGGACCTCAGTATCCCCTCGTTGGATGGCAACGCTTCAGTGAAGGTCCGGGTGTATTCTCCCAAAATTGACGCGACGCTCCCGGTTCTTCTGTACGCGCACGGCGGCGGTTTCGTCAAAGGCAACCTTGAGACGCACGACCAGCTGTGCCGGCGTATAGCGGTGGGGTCGGATCATGTTGTGGTCGCGGTAGATTACCGGCTGAGTCCGGAGCACCGCTTTCCCGCTGCATTGGACGACGTGGAGGCGGCGTACACTTGGGTGGTGGGGCAGGTGGCCTGGGACGCGACTCGCATTAGCCTGGCGGGGGACAGCGCGGGTGGCAATTTAATGAGCGCCTTAGCAGTGAGGCTTGCGGGTAAGCCGGAGTCCCAGGTCCGGCCAGAGCATCGCATCAGGCGGCAGGTCCTCATTTACCCCGTTGTCGACGTGCGACGCCGGGGGGAGTCCTACGAGACCTACGGCACAGGCTACGGGCTGTCCGCTACCGCCATCGACTATTACCTCGAGAGCTACCTGGGGCCCGCGTACACAGACGCCAAAGACGAAGACGCCCGCCGCGCCGTGCTGGAGAACCCGGAGGTCTCCACCATCCTATACCAGCATCCTGAGAAGCTCCCACCCACCCTGATTTTGACCGCGGCGTGCGACCCGCTGGCCAGCGAGGCGGGCTTGCTGAAGGAGCGCTTGGAAGCGGCAGGAGTGCCTGTGCGTCAGATAATATATCCAGACACGGTCCACGCCTACATGACGTTCTTCGACATTTTTCCGGAGTCGGAGCAGAGTCTGGAGGAGATCGTGAGGTTTTTGAACGAGGACATCGGGTCCTGAGAGACATGCAAAAGCGGGGGACAGCTGGGAAGGAGGTTGGGCTTAAACTGGTCCCTTGTTTAATTTATAGGATGCCACGCAGGTATCGCTTGCTTGTGGGAAAGTATTGAGAACTGTGGCCAGATCGGGAGAGCTGTGGACAACCTTGTTGCTTCCACGGGCATGGCGCCCATTTTTTATTGCTTCCAGGCGGGCGTCTCAATCCTCCGCCCTCCCTGTAGCTCCATTATCTCTCTTGAACGTCCGGCCCCAATCTGTCTACAATCCCCCCTATATACCCCGCTTTCCCTGTCCACCCCCTTCCATCCCCCCCTAGAACCAAGCCAATCTGTGCACCAGCAAGTCCCGCAGCAACATCCACGCCCCTTCCCTGTGAATCATCCCGAGCCCTTTAAAAGCCGGGCAGTGGCACCCCTCCGTCGCTCCCTCCAACTCCCTGCACGGGCAGATCTGCAAGTCCACCCGAATGCCGAGGAGAAAGGTCTTATCCGCCCAGTCCCCCATCTCCACCACGGGGGCCACGCGCAGGGAGTGCGTGGGGTCGAGCACCACCACCGTCGTCGCCCCCCCACCCGGGCCGCTAAAAGCCCCGTCCCAGCACCTCCCTTCCCATGGAGGGGGGCGAGGCGCCTCCAGTCGACTCCTGACCAGGCACGCGGAACGTCCTCGCTCCCGGTCGTAGATCCCGAGGGTGAAGAGCAAGGCCGGCCTTCCTTCTTGCTCCCCCTCCTCCTCTCCGTCCTCCTCCTCTTCCTCCTCCTCGTTGTCCGTCGTGTCTGTCGCCCCCGCGCCCATTGCCCTCCCCCACCCGGACCTTGCCACCTCCTCCGACGCCATTTCCTCCCCTCCGCCAGTCTCCCTCTCTTCTTCGCACCTCCACGCTCCGCTTCTTCGGCCCATCTTCACCCTCCTGCACCGATGTGCGTGAGCTCCTCCCCCGCGTCCTCTCACTCGCACCACCCCACACGCCCTCCCTCCGTCCGGCCCTCCCCCCACCCCTGGGTGTCCCTCCCTTCTGCGATCGCGGGGCAGCGCCTTCGCATTCCCACCAAGAGATGCCTGTGCTGGCTGCAAGCGAGACTTGACGTCTATCCCCAGCTGCAGTCCTTTTCCGATGACGAAGAGGCCGGCTGATGTGAAGAGTCGCCCCCGCTCTTCCCCGTCTGCCAAGCTCAAAGCTGTTGAGTACACCAGGGACTGGTGCTGTACCTCTCGGACCTCGACAATCCAGGTGAAGGGTTGGAAGAAGCTCTCGGGCGGCAGAGTGCAACACACTGTCTCGTCCTCCCCGCCGGCAGATCGCAACAAGGGTTGACAGCAAATTCGCGCCCGTTGCTGCCCCACATAAAACCGGTGCACATTTTTGGTGATGTCTAGGCGCTTCAGCATAGATTGACCGTACTCCTGGTTGATCAAGGGCTCCCATATGTCATCTCGCGTTCCCAGTCGTCTCCACATGCGGTTTATGCGACATATGGGTGCGAAGCTCCGGATGGAGCGTGGGAGGTAGTCCAATACCCGGCAAACGACGTCCTCCGGCAATGAAAACGAGAAGTTGGAGGGAGGCAGCACCACAGGCTGGCAAAGGGATGGACGGGTGAACGAGTGGGAGGAGGATGGCGAACCTCTGCGATGGGGGGGCATGACGCACAAGGTCGGAGTTGGGAGCAGGCACTGAAAGCAAGCGAACGAGCCAGTCAATTGCCTGTCTCCCGGAAGCCTTTCAATCGGACACTGGCATCACATAAGTAGGCCTGATCCCGGCATAAGCCTCCCAATGCCTAACATTGATTAGGTGATACGGGGGGGGGGAGAAGGGGTTGATGAGTATTGGATTGTCTTTTGAACACCCACCTGCTGCGACGAGCATCGGGATCCGCTGCTACTCCGTCTCGCTATCGCCCACAGCCCCTCAAAAAGTGGTCACTGTTACACTCAGGCGATCTCTGCCCACACGGACACACAGGGCTTGGCTTGGACTGGGGTGCGAAGTGCATGCTCAAGATCTCAGCCTTCGCTCGCGTGTCTTGGCTGCTTTCGGGTTGGGCTTCTTCCTTACCTTCATATCACCGTAGAACACTTGTCCCCTCCTTTACCCGGCTGCTCACCAGGTAACCTCCGGAAACTCATAAAAAATTAGTCGTAGCACAGCGATTTTTTTCCTAGCACTTTTTCCCAGTAGTCGTGGGGACAGTTACATGATCGGGGCCATTGGAGGCAGGGCTTTTTAAGGCGTGTACCCCGACATGTGCATGACTCAAGCGGTACCGTCTCAATACCTGGAGTACATGACATTGACTACAGGCAGATGAGCTCGGAAGACTTCGACTTCGGCCCTGCCGACCGCCTCAAAGGCTTTGAGGTGAGGCCCTGTGGAAAGTACAGGCGTCGTACTGCGGGTCGCCGGCCTCAAAACCCTCGGCCTTGTAGTCATGTCGTAAATGGCACACTTTTTCAGAAACAAAAATGCGGGTAACGATTTCCTATGCCCTCGTTCACCGCACAGAAACCAACTGTGTGGCAAGAATTTACCCCCCTGGCAGCACAGATGCAGGCGGTTAATCTCGGACAGGGCTTTCCAGACTGGCCCACCCCTGACTTCTGCAAAACGGCGGCCGTGCGCGCCATCGAGAAGAACCACAACCAATACTGCCGCTCGGCCGGGCTGCCAGACCTGGCCTCCGCCCTAGCCACCCACTACTCGCCCCTCTTTGGTCGGACCCTCGACCCCGACACCGAGGTGACGGTCTCTGTGGGGGTCTCGGAGGGCCTCTTCGCCGCCATCCACTCCCTCGTCAACCCCGGCGACGAGGTGATCCTCATCGAGCCCGCCTTCGACATATACGCCGCGCAGGTATGTGGGAGAAGGCGGGGGGAGGTCTGCTCCACGCCTCAAGCCCGTGCTCACACACACTCCCACACACTCCCCCTTTCCCTCCCCCGTCCAGGTAAAAATGGCGGGCGGGACCTGCGTGTACGTCCCTCTTCGACCCCCATCCCCCTCCTCTTCGACATGGAGCCTGGACTGGGGAGAGGTGGCCGCGGCCTTCACCCCCCGCACTCGACTCCTCCTCCTCAACACGCCCCAAAACCCAACGGGGAAAGTCTTCGCCCGATCCGAGCTGCAAAAGCTCGCGGACCTGGTCCGGGCGCACCCGCGGGCCCTGGTTCTGTCCGACGAAGTGTATGAGAACCTCACCTATCCGGGCCACGAGCATGTGCGCCTCGCCACCCTGCCCGGCATGTGGGAGCGCACCTTGACCTTGTCCTCGGCGGGAAAGACCTTCTGCGTGACCGGCTGGAAGATCGGCTGGCTCATAGGCCCAACGCATTTGATCCGGGGGGTCATGTGCTGCAACCAGTACGTGCAATTCTCGGTGGCCACGCCCCTGCAAGCGGCAGTGGCTGAGATGCTTCGGCGGGCCCAAGAACCTTACATGGAATTTCCCTCTTACTACGCCTGGCTGCGGGACGAATACATGCGAAAACGGTAAGTAGGGGAAAGCGTGACGGGGCGGGGGCGATGGGACGAGAAAGATAGGGGGGTTGTGGGTGCGGGGAAGGGAAAAGGGAGGGTCTGCGGTGCGGGGATTGCTGCTTCCAGTCCGCGCATTGCGCAAAGGCAGGAGACAGGCAGATTCCGGCCATCCTGTACGTTTCCTTGACGTTCCCCCCCTCCTTTCCCTCCCCTACTACAGTACGCTATTAGTCGACGCGCTTAGAACAGCAGGTCTCGAGCCCATCGTCCCCGAAGGTGGCTTTTTCATCATCGCGGACACGAGCAACATCCAGGTCCCCCCGCGCTATCTTGGCGAGAGCACGCCGGCCTCCCCCAATCCCATGTCCAGAGATTGGGCCTTCTGCCGCTATCTGACTCTGGAAGCAGGCGTGGCCGCTATACCCCCCTCTGCCTTTTTACAAGGAGGAGCACAAACATTTGGCGAAGAACCATGCCCGCTTTGCTTTCTGTAAGGCAGACGCGAGCATCGTGGAGGCCAAGGCGCGCTTTCGTGAGATGGAGGGGGAAGGACGAGGCTGGCGCAGTGGGTCTAGAGAACGGGAATGGGAAAGAAGAGGCTTGAAGTGGTGGTTGGATCGGAAGGGAATGCTTTGGACGAGTGGCGAGAGACGAATAAATTCCGCAGGCGCGCCTGTCGCTTGAGGCCCGTGTGCCGTGCGGGTTGTTTGCCTCGAGTTTGGGGTCATGCAGGCCCAGGAGGCCGCCCTCCCGTGAAATGTGATGAAAAAAATGATTTGCCGACTGACTGTACAAGAGCTCCCTTTATGCCAGCCACAATTCCTGCACCATTCTTTGTTGTCCTTCTCACTCTAAGCGTTACTTCCCCCTTGCACCACAGGCGCGTGTCCAGCCACTGGAAAGGGTCGTAACCTCGATACAATTTTACGCTCTCAGGCCATCGCCTCCGATGTAGTGAGATCTGAAGATTTTTGCTTCGCAGTGGAATGACTATTGCTGCCGAAATCTTCCGAGAAGGAATAGTCGCCTGGAGCTCACCGCTTGTCCGGGCCGCGTGGGAGGCGCATAAGGGAGATGAGGGACCTGATGGATGGCGATGGGAGTGGGAAATGCGGGAGGCGCCTCCCGACAAGCTCAATAGAATGCCGTTCGTATCCTTAAGCTTCACGCGCACATATCCCCCGATCGCCGGGAAGGGGGACTTTGGGAACGAAAAGCTCGAGGGTGAGAATTGCGCTGACAGGCGCTCGTCTTACAATGCCGAGGAAAGACGAAGCACGGAGGCAGATTTCGAGGAAGATGTGACAGGCCAGGATTACCGCGATGACGCCTCTCTTCCTCCAATGCAGCCATCTTCCCCCACACCTGATCGTGCACGCATTGCCGTCATGACGGACTGGGATTTGCACGTTTTGTACGATGAGGCCTACAGGACTCCGACACTCTGGTTGCGAGTCACCCGAGCCGATGGGGCCCCCTTCATTAGAGATGAATTGGCGCGCTTTTGCGGCATTGCCACGGAAGACACTGACCAAGAAAACGAGGTAGGCAGGTGGACAATTTTGTCGCAAGATGAGCACCCACTTTTGGGACTCCCCTTTTTTTTTTTGCATCCTTGTGGGACGCCCGCGAGAATGTCTCGTATGATATGCTCGGGCCAAAATGAAATAGAATTTAGGACCGGCAGGGACGAGGAAGGAGTGGACGCCTGCCAGAGGGGCTTAGACTACTTGATACAATGGTTTAGTCTTGTAGCTCCAGTGTTGGGACTGAAAATACCTCCCCAATTTGTGCAGGCAATTTTATTCTCATTTCCATAGCAGTATCAGAGTAGTGCTTTTATTGAAGAAAATCCTTAAAAAATGTTCGGCCAGCGTCACAATGTTTATTTCTCATTTGATGTAGATACCAGATACCACCTAGTCCCATCCTCCCTCCTCTCCCTCCCCCCCTCCCCTCCCTTCCCTCCCTCCCCTCCCTCCCCTCCCTCCCCCCCTCCCTCCCTACCCGAGCGCGCGCACACAACGCTCTGGAAAGCGTCGTGGACCGGATAGGGATCGTGTTGAAGCAGATAGATGCCTACTAAACAAGTGTCCAAATTGATGACGTTTTGCACTGAGGTATCTATCTTTCACGTCTGCCACAGTCTTGCCCTACAACTCAATAAGCAGACTTGGAGTGCCCCTAAGGAATAGATTGTAGGGGAGGTAGGCCCTAAAAGCAGCACTGGATGCAATCAAGAGACGCGTTCCTCTTGATTCTTGACTGCTAGTCCTTTGTTGATCCATTGCAGGCTATATACCAGTGAACACTTGAGGATAAACACATCGTAACAAATAACGTCTGGCTTGCCAATGAGAGCAAGTCAACGTCCTTTGCCGACGTGAATACCTCTGAAGATGTTTGCACGCGGCACATACTCTGTGCTTACGCACGAGACACGGTGCGCGCGTGTTGCGAACAGATCCAAGTCACAAAGACCTTTTGGCAGGAGTCCCACCCTTTCGTGCCACCCGTCCCGTAGCTATAGGTATAGGTCCTTATAGGTTGACGGTACCCACCGGGAGAAGAAAGGTACAGAGAAATACCAAATAGGTAAAAATATGACAACACGTTCTTCGTGAGAAAAAGTCTATACACCCCCTGGGTGTATCCCGCCGTGTAGTATTGCGGCTCGGCTCGGCCTGGCACCTACCCGGAGTGCACTATTCCGTCTACACATCGAGAAACATCCATCATTCACTTAAAGTCCAATCACAAAAGAAGATAAACTCCGCGATTGCGTCTCTTTCACACACCACCATTAAAAGTCTCTCCTACCATAAAAGGCTTTAAGAGGAGTGTAGAACATGCTCGGGGCGTGGTTCTCGCATGTCTGGGCCAACACTAGTAGTTAGTGTAACGGCTACTAACGGCCGGCAAATGGACGTGCATTTGCCCAAACTTATAAGGCCCCTCTACCGCACTCCAGCCCCTATCCGCGGGCCGGGCGTGCTGACATTCACGACAGGCATTTATTTGTACTGACATCTACCATAGAAAAGATCATCGCTTGAAGATCGACTCGAATTCCCCTCCAACTCCCCTTGTACTCCTCCTGTCGGCGTACGCGTTCGTCACAAGAAGCGGCCTGCACCACATGGCAAAGGGTACAAAAGCCACCAAGAATGTGAAGGCCAAGGTGATGTCAGATATAAGGTAACAAGGAAGCATATAGAGTCCGATGGCCTGCGGATAAACGAATATAACCTGTCTTACTCCTCTTTCCTCTGTATACTCTTTTACCAGGGCCTTGCGGGAGCGATCGCCGTCACCTTCAGAGGATGGTGAAAATCATAACGATCCTCCTGCTCACGTTGGTGGTATTGTCCGGCGCATGATACCATTGTCTGCCCCTAGCATCAGCTTCGAAAATTCTCACAAAGCTCACCACTACTCGGAAGAGGAATGGGAGAAGGTCCAGGTCAGTGCGTCAGTTGGTTTTGTGACGGACACACCAACTTTTAAAAATGAGAGTACACATTATACGAGGCAAAAATGACAAGTCTGATCTGGTGCTGTGTCAGTGGGGTCTAAAGTCTGTGTCCGAAACTTAGACCGTCATATTGAAAAATAACGCTCGCTTCTATTCTTTTTCCCCACTAGGCCTTTTCATCAATCACATATCTGCCCTTACACACACGTGTGTTCCAAAAATGGCTTGAAGACAACTGGATCAAGCGGGAATGGGACCACTGGGTAATGATGGGGTTAATTGGCTTTTTTGTCGGCATGCTTGGGTCTACCCTTAAACTCGTCATTGAAAAAATTGTGGAGTCTAAATTCCACCACATCACAATCCTGCTGAAAAAAGAGGCTTTTGGACTTATGTGGTTCTTGGCCATAGCAATGTCAATGTCTCTGGCACTGGCATCTGCAGTAGTTGTAGTATACGGGGAGCCAGCGGCGGCGGGATCCGGTATTCCTGACATCATGGCTTATTTGAACGGAATATCGATCCGCAAGATCTTCGGATCGAAAGCCCTTGTCGTCAAATTTTTTTCTTGTGTATTCGCTGTATCAGCAGGGTTGTATGGCGGACAAGAAGGTTCGTGCTGATGTGGGGGTGATCGAGGAGAGTCATGACGCATGATCGACCTGGGAGCAGAGTGTATTCCTGGCGAATAGGGAGCATGTGATAGAGCTTTTTTGGCGTCTGGTGTCTGAAAGCCGCTGTCAATTAGAATTCCATGTCTTTTTACTCTCTATACTGATATATTCTTCCAAACATATTCCATCATCTTCATGTGATGTCCCTCCTACCCCCAGGACCCATGATCCACATGGGCAGCGCCATTGGTAAGATTCTCAGCCAAGGTGTCAGCTTCTCAGGAAAATACAGCAAAATACCGGACTTCATCCTTTTTAAGCGCCTTCGTAATATGTATGACCGGAGAAATTTTATCAGTGCGGGGGCCGCTGCTGGCGTGGCCTCTGCCTTCACTGCGCCCGTGGGAGGCCTTCTTTTTGTTCTGGAGGAAATCTCCTCATTCTGGACACACAAGCTGGCCTGGCAAATATTCTTTTGTTGTGGCGTGGCATCCTTCACCACGCAGGCGTTTACGTCTCTTTATCGCACAGGCTCCCTCGGATCATTCTCGCGCGCCGCCTTCAATATCGACCAAGCCATCAACTCCCAGCTGACAATGTTCCTGCCCACCGTCGGGGTGGGCATAATGGGAGGGCTCTTTGCTGCCCTCTTCACGTGGGCGAACCTAAATATCTGCAAATGGCGAAATCGAAACATTGTTCCCAGGCCCTGGGCCAGAATAGCGGAGCCTGCTGTGGTTGCCTTCCTGACCACCACCTTGGCGGTTCTCATCCCCTACTTGTTCGAGTGTATGCCCACGCGCTGCAAAAAGGACCCAAGTCTCCCAGGATGCACGCCGCGCTATGCGAGCAGTGATGTGCCGGAGGAGGGCCTGATGCAATATACCTGTCAGGCGGAGGGTATGTACAACCCTGCAGCTACGCTGTTTTTCACCACTGGCGACAGGACTATCGAGCACCTGTTGAGCCGAAATACCCACTACATGTTCGACTACGGCTCACTTATCACACTTTTCGTCGTCTACTTCTCCCTTTGCTGCTATACGATGGGAATGGCTCCAGCCTTGGGTTCCATGGTTCCTGCGCTTTTAATCGGGTCGGTGCTAGGTCGCATCGCGGGGCTGGGGGTGACGGACATCGTGGGGATTCACGAGGGGGAAGAATTGACATGGGTGGACCCCGGCGGGTTCGCATTGATTGGAGCGGCAGCATTTTTTGGAGGACTAACGAGACTGACGTTCACCTTGGCGGTGGTGATGATCGAACTGACCGATGAGACGCACTTCTTACTCCCCATTATGACGGCGGTCATGGTGGGAAAGTGGACCGCGGACCTGTTGATTGACTCCTTATATCACAAATTGATCGACCTCAAGTGCTTTCCGTTCTTATCTGATGAGCCACATGTCGAAGAATGCCTGGACCTGTATACCGTGGAGGACGTAATGGGCCGAGACGTAGTGACCATACCGGAGATCGGCTCCGTAGCCCTCATGGCACACATTCTCGCATCCTGCAATCATCGTGCCTTACCTGTGGTGGAAGTGACGGAGAACGGGAACGAGGTCTTTAAAGGTATCATACTGCGGAGTCACGTTTTTTCCATCCTGGCAAAAGAGTCCTTGTTTCTGGAGGAGGACAACCCTGTAGTTGTCTCGAAATCGCCCTCCTTTTCCATGGGAGAGGGCGAGGAGGGAGTTACTAATTTGCATATGGAAGCGCTCGGTATAGCGGAGCTAGTCAACTTGGACGATAAGATGCCAGTTACACTATTGGCTAAGACTGAGGGTGAGCGGAAGGTCATGTTGGGGAGACTACAGGCCGCGGAGTATCATCGCCGATTTGTCACTCTGGCGCCGTACATTGATCAGTCAAGCTATCGCATTGCCCCCACGTTCTCACTAGAACGCGGATTCAATTTGTTTCGTACAATGGGCCTTAGTCACATAACTGTGGTGGATCAAAATAACGAAGTCGTGGGAATCGTGTCTCGGAAAGATTTGACCAACATGAACATCTACAGAAAGCTAGAGGAGATACAAGAGAGGACAGATGAAGGAAGGTCAAATGAGCCCGATAGATCAAAAGTTGAGTATCATGATGCAACTAGCGGTATTATATTCCATGATTATCATGATTCTCCCGCGCCACCTCGTGTAAGACAAACTAGACTGCGCTCTGTGCGAGATCCCGAGGTGCAAGAGAGCCATAGGAAAGCCATTGCGGCAGCAGGCCTTGACCAAGGCATGTTAATTTAGACTGAAATCACTTGTTGCGGAGCATGTGAAACAAAAATGATAACTTATATAAAAGTGCATAGATAAAAATACTGAATGTACTGTGGAATAAAAGAAGTTTGTGCTTTGATTGAGGAGTACCAACGCCAATCATTTTTTAAGTTTGAAACTTTGAAAATCCGGTGTCGCCATGAAAGGGCAGACGCCTTCTGAATCTGCACTTTCCGTGCGGATTGACGCAGCAGCACGTGCTTACGTATTGTCTTGTGCTATTTGGTGCTTTAAAAGTGGAGTTGAAAGCGACCAGGTATGTATACTTTTCTGAAAAACTGCTTACACGGTGAATGGAGTATTTCGAGTGCCGTGCGTGTCGCAAAACTCAGGCTCCAGAGGAGCTAGCTGTTTCTTTTTGTTCCGGTCGGAGGGATCGCGGCGAAAAGGATATGGCAAAAGGGCGGCCATCCTTTTTGGCTAAAAAATGAATTATATTGTAACCTGACATCTTATTTGCTTTGTAATTATATGAAAAATGACCCTGTCTTTTCCTAAGTATCCAACCTTTCTTGTCTACCGGCTACTTCCCCCTTAGGCTCTCCATTTTCCATGGCAAAAGCACAGTTTGACCCTTCAGCGTCCTTACCCTCAAGGAAGGGTAGAAACTGGACAATTGGTGTAAGTCTGACCTTAATTGTACTTGTAGCAGCGGCTACGGGCACATATTTTCATTTCTCTAGTCAAAAGTTGCGGAACGTCTCTGGAAGAGATGTGGCTGCCGCGGCCACTACCCTTGAGGAACCTATCTTGACAAGAACAATCAGTCGGCTACGACGACATTTAGCATGGGGTGCCGCAGATGTCGAAGAAGATAATGTCATAGAGGACATCCACGATACGCTTGACGAGGCTCCGGGAGTGCCTGAGGATGACGACACCCCCAAAAAGAAGAAAAAGAAGAAGTTCAGTTTTGACGACAATCTTGATGATGACTTGGGTGATGAGGCTGATATGAGTGACGACGATATGGGAGACGATGATGTACCTGGGGACGACGCAGACGTGGGCCCCAAAAGACCCAAGAAGAAGGGAAAGGCTACAACAAAGAAAGGGAGCAAAAAGAAGCCGGTCGGCAAGAAAGGGAGAGGGAGAACAGACGATAGTCCGGTCGTTATTAATGCTCGTCCCGGAGGGGGGGCATCGCGAGTCTCCCGCGGCGGGGGAAGATCAAGCCCAGAGGACGGGAAAAAAGATCCTCTGACCCCCACGCTAGATACCCGGGACACTCGACGCTATGCGGATGAAGTCGTACTTCCGGACGGACACACTGTACACATTGATGTCCCTAGCCCTTAGACTATATTCATGACCCAGGCCAGGGCAATGCCTGGATCGATGAGTGTACATATGGGTGTAAAAAGCCGTAAGTAGACATGACAGCGTCGGAAATAGTTTATTGCATCTTGTATTACCTTCTCACAAAGGAAAGTTATTGCAACGCTTGATCTGTCTTCGAAATGCTTCAATAAAAGATAATCGTAGAAAACGTAATTGTGGACCAGGCGCTGGGATCCGCTCCCACAGACGCATGTGACTTATCTAAAACCACAAGAGTTGCAAAGCGAGTCAGTTCAAGGTTACGTGAAACTTTTCAAGACTTCGATCGTTTTTGCATTTGTTGAAATTTGTAATCGTTTATTCATCATAAGCACAATGTTTTGGAAGAGAATAGATGGTAAAGCGTGCGATGTTAAAAGTTCGCAACGTTCTAGCCATCGAGATATCCTGTGGACCCTCTATACTTCCCAACACCCAATTCGTGAGTTTGTCCCATTCGTCTCATGCTTGCATAAAATGCGTCTGTAGAGAAAAGCTGGTGCAGAGGAAAAGCGGCCATGCGGGGAATTGACTCTGTCGTAATGGATGATACGGTGGAATTTGCACAAAATCTACCTCCCTGTAACATGAAAAGCTAGGGTACCCGGATGCCGCTGCGCGTGAGACGAGCGACAGGTGAGCCAGAAGCCACTGGCTTGTCACATCTACTGTCTTCGATGGCATGGCTTTCGTGCTCTGCATTTTGTGTGAACGGTACACGAAGTGTTTCGAGCGCAGCGAATCGAGCTTATAGCGCGTAACTTATCTTTGCGCAACGAAATGCGTCGCTAAATCTTCACTTCCATCGCTTCGTCTAAGGGGATTTCACTAGGAACACGAAGCATTTCAACGCGGCATAGCGCATGGCCTTCTTCGTGATCATCGTTGCCGTTGCCTTACTTGTGTTGCTGTCCAGGGTTGTCTACCATTTCCTGTGTCGGCGGCCTGGTTTAAAGGATGACTGGCCGTGTGTGCCTGATTGCCGTGTTCAGGAACGTGTCGGCAAGTGGCCTACCTTACCACGTGGGAGGCTGAAGTATATTACAGCCACCGAGTTCCGAACGCTCTGCGCATTGTGCGATACTGTTTTACCGGCCTTTGAGGCCGAGGACGTACCAAAAGCCATACGAGCGTATTTGATGGAATTGGTGGGCTCCGATGACCTGTTTGAGAGGCTGAGCACGGACATGAGCTACTACACTCGTGGAGCCCTGGATGCGGATGTACCCGCACGGGTGGGGGACATCGTCGAGGAAGACCTCCGTCCTGATGCACGAAAAATCGTACGCATGGTTTTGTATGCTCTTGAGATGCCGTTGGGTCTCTTTTTTTTGACTGGCGGGACCTGGTATGGATGGGGCACCGGCTTTTCTAGCATGCCCTTTCGTCAGCGGGAGGCGGTCTTCGGGCGCCTTCTTACGAGCATCATCGAGCCAATTCGAGGCCTCGCTATTTTGATAAAGGCAATGGCGGGTCGTATCTACTTTGCAGCACGAGATACTCCACCGAGCACACCAGGCGGTACTCCGACCAACCCTTCCTGGACAGCCTTGGGATATCAAGACCGGACACGCGACAGGGTACGGAGCGTGATGGGCGGGAAGCCACTCCGCAAACCACAGCTCCATCCACTGCGGAGAGATTCCATTCCACCTTCCTGTGTGGGAGGCGGTACAGACGTCCGCGAACTAAGTTGTGACGTTGTCATTGTGGGGTCGGGCGCCGGTGGAGGGACCGCTGCCGGCGTCCTGACCGCCGCAGGCTTGAAAGTGGTTGTGCTGGAGAAAGGAGGGTATTACTCCGAGGAAGACTTCGCAGGATTCGGGGAGTTGGACTCTGAAAGGGCCCTTTGCGAGCGGTCGGGGTGGATGGGCGCGCAAGAGTTGAGTGTCTCTATATTGGCCGGTTCCTGTGTCGGCGGCGGCACCACTCTGAATTGGTGCGCTTCCTTTCGGACCCCCGAGCACGTGCGACGAGAGTGGGTGGACAAGCATGGCCTGACATGCTTTGGAGGCGCCGAGTACGACCAGGCTTTGGACGCGGTGGCCCGCCGCCTAAACCTGAACACTCGACACTCGCACCGGAACCCGGAGGTAGCTTCCGTGCCCTCCCTGGTCGTGAATCAGAACAATGAACGCCTCTGGCAAGGCGCGAAGGCGGTGGGTGCCAGGTGCCTTCCTGTCCCTCGCAACGTGCGAGGCTGCCAAGACTGCAGCGGGTGCGAGCGGGGCTGTCCCTACGGCGCGAAGCAGTCGACGCTCCGGACCTTTTTGGAGGACGCAGAAAATACGGGCAATTTTAAACTGGTGGCTCGCGCCCACGTCGACAAGGTGCTTAGAAATGACGACAACGATGCCGTCGGTGTCATTGCTACGGTGCACGAGGAAAGGCGGTTGGCGGAGGGGAGAGAAAGTGACGGCGAGGGGAGGCCTCCCTCTGGCCATCGCCCTGGCCCTTCGACCTCTTCGCGATATCAATTGATCGTATGGGCTGATCACGCCGTTATCCTTTCAGCAGGGTCGCTCCACTCCCCCGCGGTGCTCCTGCGCTCTGGCTTGAAGCACCATAAGATTGGACGGCACCTTGCGTTGCACCCCGTATCCGGTGTTGCCGGGCTTTTCCCCTCAGAGACCTCAGACACGCACTTAGGGGTGGGCATGGGAACCTATGTTTCGGATTTCATGGGGGGTGAGATGAAGGATGGGTGGGGAGGCGCGATTGAGACCCCCCCTAGCCACGCGGGTCTGGCAGGAGTGATCGCACCTTACGGGACAGCATTCAACTACCGCATGTGGGTGGCTCTGAAAGGGCACTATGCCGTCTCCATTGTGATCAGTCGGGACGAGTCCTGTGCTGCGAATCGAGTGGTGATCGACAATGATGGGGAACCCCAGGTGCACTATCTGTTGACCAAGAAGGACCAAGCGAATCTCCAGTATTCTGTAGGGGTGATGCTAAAAATGATGATCGCGCAAGGAGCGGCACTAGCATTGCCTGTGAATGAAAGCATGCGCACCTACCGACCGCACCGAGATGAGGCTTCGGGAACTACGAGGGGCGGCAAAGGGATGAGTGAGTATTTAAAATATGTGCGGAAGATGGGCACGCCAGTTGGCAACACGGCATTATTTTCGGCGCACCAAATGTGCTCTTGCCGAATGGGATCGACAGAGGAGGCAGGGCCAGTGCAAGTGACGGGGGAAACTTGGGAGGTTGAGAAGCTCTACGTTATGGATGCAAGCGTGTTCCCAACGTCCTTGGGCATCAACCCGATGGTAAGTGACCTGGGAAGGGGGTTAGAAGAGGAGAAGTAAGATTCGGTCCTCTCTACGGGTGGCGCACATCTTCTCATTTTCAAACTTAGTTCATCGCATGTAATTGTATTTCTTACACACAGGTGACAATAGAAAGCATATCTTTCATGCTGAGCAAAAAACTGGCTGTAAAAATCAAAGGTCCCGACGCGGAAAAGGCCATCTCCGTAAAGTATTGCGTTCCAAGCACTGAGGAGGCCATTGGAAACGTTTCTTACCCAGAAGGCCCGACATTAAAAGGGGAGTACTGTGCGTGGTAATCGAAACGCCCAAGAAGAAAGCCTCATTGCACGTCCTACTAAAAAGGGGACGTTAGCTTGGAGAGGCTTGTATTTTCCTGATAATAGCTCTCTTTAGAAAGTGTAAAAGTAGAAAGGTGGAGCAGCATGTTGCAGGACTGTGTGAAGCAGTACTGCACAATATGACTATCGAACGTGAGGCATGTCAAAAAGCAGTGTTAAAACTCGAAAGAACGTAGATTGTAAAGTAATGAGGATGAAGCAATCAGTTATAATGCACATAAAGGAGGAGGCTAGAATTTCATGATGGAGGAAAGTAGAGCGTGCTATACAAAAGCGCCTTGTCGTTCATACATAGTTATTTGTTCACTCTTTCCTTCATTTTGCTGATTTTTCACGCCATGTCCATGTCGTCATTTGCTGCCCTCCTGTTTGCTGAAGCCGCAGCACTCGTGACTTCTTAAGAGCATTGAAGATTGACACGAATCGTGTGACGAGTGTGCGCGTGCATTTTTCCAGTTTCGAAAGCTCGTCCACTAGCTCGTTTACTCTCGGACTCACTGGTCTTACGGACCCAGTGACATGTCCGAATCCCTGGTTTCCAGCCGTTAACGCGAGCGAACGGATTCTCAAGTAGGCGTTACGCGGGGGTGCCGCATGCACACCGCTTGTCCTTTACCTCCGAGCCGTTGAAGCTGCACCATTATTACAAAGAAGAATGTTAATATGAAACAAACATATCACAGTCACCCTCTTCTGGGTTGGAGTGTTCCCGTTAAAACAGTATGTCGACAATAGAGTGCGCACTGAACGGTAAGGTTCCCCTTCCCTTTTCCTGATAGAACCTATTACACATCTGTCATCGATTAGCGAAAATCATACACGTCCTTGATCATGTACATAACGTACCTCAAACAGGGACTCAGGAAATGAAACACTCAACTGTCTCGAAAATCGAGCGATTTGAGCGGCAGCGGCTCCTGCTATTCACCCCACAAATACGTGTGAATGCAACACATTGGGAGGCCTTCAAGTCAACACTGGCAAAATCTTCCGTAGAAAATGAGCGAGTGTTGGCTTTTTTTACCAAGCGTATTGATATGGAAGAAAAGTATTGCGAGCATTTGGCTGAGCTGCCTTACATGGATCTTACGGGTACTGGTGGCTGGCGCACGGGGACTAAAAAATGTCCGCCGCCTGGTTCTGGTGTTGCAAAAGCGTCTATCTCTTCTAAACCTTCCAAATCCTCTGTCGGCGCCGGCGCTGTCACGAGTAAGACTGCTTGTGCGACGTCAACAACGACGAAAGATTGTAACAAGTCAAGCGAAGGCACCCTCCCTGCCATGGACACCATGATGGCCTCGACGGATACCCTCGTGACCAAATACTCGGACTATGTGCGAGACACAAGAAGGGAGCTGGTAGATGGGAAGCTCAGAAACTTGGTCAACTCCTTCAAACGCACATCGGACGAAGTTCTGGAGGAGGGCTGTCTCGCTCTAGAGAATGTCAATGCTGCGGAATCCCACATTGTGGCGGCGTTTGCGGAGTACATGAAAGGCGCTGGAAACCTCACTTCCTACTCCAAAAATAGCACTACCACATCACCACATCAGCAGCAACAGGGCACACCAGATTTGTGGTTGCTGGATATGCAGTATCGTGTCGCGGTGGAGCTACAGAAGACAATCTGGCAAGAAACGCAGCACCACCTCCATGACCTATTCCGGCGCATGAAGACGCTGGAGGTTAATCGTCGCAGTCAACTGAACGCCTTGGTCTTAAGATTCATGCAGAATCAAGGATCGTTTTGGGCACAACTTCCGCAAGCCGCGGCCGAGTGTAGCCTAGCCATCAGTACACTCTCGTGCACAGACCCGCATCAAGTTGAGGAAGAATTGAGCGAGGAAATCAAGACCTGTGCCAAGGCAGCCGAGCAGAAGGAACAACATCACTCAAGTGGCAAAGAGAACGGCGCCAAGGGCCGCGACAAAGATCAAAGAGGTGTTAATGTAAAAGCCGCCGATGATGATGCTGCCTCGGGGGCCGCGGTGCCTGAACCCTTTGTTGGCAACCTAATGGCTCCCTTAGATTCTCCTCTTGTGCGACGCGCGGAAGTTCTTGAGCACAGGCGCGTCACAGGTGTTGAGTCTTTGCCACTCATGAAAAGGTGGCGCCCCTGCCTCGCGGTGCTGACCTTGGATAACTTCTTGCATATCTTCGACATGCCCAGCGAGGTGACCGCCGGGACCGTGCTGTCCCCCCGGGAGGCTTTCAAATTGCTCGTTCCCCGCCCCATAAATCGGCGCGGCCGCTTCAGGAAAGGGAAAGACGTGGAGCGCGTGATCCCCTCCCATTTCCTAGCCCTGCCCTACTCTAGCGCCCGCTACCGGCCAGAGGAGGGGGCGGAGGCCTTCGACGTGACCGAGGCACGGGAGAATACTGGGTTCGTGAGTGTCTTCAAAGCGCGGGAAGTGACTCGGGTGGTGCTAAAGGCAAGGACTCAAGAGAAGATGGAGGCATGGGTGGCGATAGTCAACAGCACGCTAGAGCTGGAGAAGGATGCTCGAGCGACGGCGGACCATGTAGCTTCCCCCGAGTCACCAGTTGCCGCCTCAAAAAGTCCTGGTACGTCGATGGAGAAAGAAAGACGCGAGGGAGATGGAGGAGACGGAGAAGGAGGGGGGCATGAAAGGAGGACAATGCCCTTCGAGTCGCCATCGAATGAAAAATCCGCGATACGCGCTTCAAGCGTGATTGTACCGGCGGAAGAGCAATTGCAACCTTCAAGTCTTTCACCTGAGGCGCTCGAGGCTGATCCTGAATGAAAATGACGGTGGGGTTTGAGATTCTGTTGCCAATGTTATCGTGATGCGTGCAATTTATGTGAATCGAAGAAAAGCAGAGGCGAGCACTTGTAAAAATAAAACGACAATAACAGGTAAATATTGTAATTGCAATGAGTCGCTGAGTTCGCTGCTCTGGTTCTATATTACGTACAGTGATGTGCCTACATCCCCCGCAATTGTCCTTCACGCCCTCCCACAATCACCCCTCGTCCGTGTGCGGCGGGCCCGATCCTCTCGGCGTCGCGAAGACGCAGAGCCCTCCTTGCTTGGTGCCGTACACAAAGCCATGGGCGGGGATGGGGTGAAAGCGTGCGATATTCACGTCCTCGTCCTCGCCAGACCTCACGGACCGCACCCTGCCCATCCGCTCCGTCTCGTACACCTCGACCATAGTGTGACCCCCCCCGGCCCCCCGCGACCCGGGCACCGCCCGCGCGCCCCCGTACCCGAGCATGACCAGGGACCCAGAAGGCGAGAGTTTGACGGAAGTGATCTCGCCCAATGAGACGCCCCGCAAGGGTCGGGCTGCGAGGATGGGGGCCAGGTACCCCTGTCTCTGTCCTTGATAACGGTATCCTACCGTCGACACAGCTTCCGCCTCGCGCTCCCGCGCCTCCTTTCTGTCCCATTTCCGGTCCGTCTCCTCCACCGCTGCAATGGGAGCATCGTACCAAGTGGGGACAGCCTCACTGGTGTCTTCATTTACTCCGGCGGCCGGTCCCCCGGCCTCCGCCTCCTGCTCCCGCCGCCCCCTGTGCACGCGCGTGCTCCTCACCCTTTCGACGTCCCCATTCTCCTCATCCCCCTCATCCCGCAGGAACGGAAGGAGGGAAAGCTTCACCAGATGCGGGAGGGAGAAAACGTCCCCTGGGCCCAACGCAAGCCCGTCGCCGTCGCCGCGCCTGTCGTCCCTCTCGAAGCGGCCTCGCCACGCATCGCCGTCCGAGCCCCCGCATTCCTGAGCCCTTTCCCTCCCTCCCCACGCCTCACTGCTGTCCGATCCCAGAATCAGATCGTGGCGCTGAAATTGGGCACAAGTGACCAAGAATCGCCCGCAGGCAGAAACGTCCATGCCCCCGTCGTTGTACAGGACGGCCTTCTCCAAAAGGGGGCGTGGTCGCCCCAACGGCGAGGAGTACAAGTGCCGCATGACAACGGGGGGGGCGCTGCCCTCTCCCACCTCCTCATCTCCTCTGCCCGGCCGCCCTCGCATGGGGGCCATGGGGGTTCGGCGGGCACGCGGCACCATGGCTTTCTCCGCGTCGAAGTCCCAGCAAAAGAGGTGGAAGGTCTTGGGAGAGCCCGCGGGGGTGGTGCCTGCTCCGCGATCCCGCTCCCCTCCGCTCTCGTTGTCCTCCGAATGTCGCTGCATCATTGTTGGTGCGGTCCTGGTGTCGTTGCTAAGGCCGACCAGGATGTGCCGGCCCTGGGGTGGGGGGAAGCAGACGCACCGGAGGAGGCGCTCGGTTTGCCACTCGTTGTAGGGCCGTGCGCAGGTTTGATAGGGCCAAAGCCAAATGCTGTGGAAGGTGGCGATCGCGAGGATCTGTGTGCCGGCCGTGCTCGGGTGGAAGGAGAGGGAGATGATGGGAAGGTCGAGGGCGGCTCGGTGTAGGCAGTGGCCCGACTCCGCGTCCCATATCCTGACCTGGCCCCCGATGCAGCCAGACGCTAGTAGGCGTGGGCTCCGGGGGTGAAACTTAACAGTCCAGGGGGTACGTGGGTGTCCGACAAGGACGCGAAGGACGCGGCGGGTATGGTAGCAGACGAGTTTGACGCTGTGATCCCCGTGAGTGGAGGCGAGCATGTTGCCATCCGGAGAGAAACAAGTAGCAATGGTGGATTTCGTCGATCGGGGTAAGGAAATATAGTGCGCTTGTGCATGGACAAGACTATATCTCTCGGCCCAGCTTTCGAGGGCTCGCTGTAGGGTGCATGGGAAGCACGGGATGGAGAAGGTGCAGGGTAAGGTGCTTACGCAGTATAAGCGAAGGCGAGAGATCTACATAAGGATACAAAGCTATCGGGCGAGTAGCACGGCGACTGATTCCAGCCTCAATCTTCATCTCACCTGTGTTGCCCCTGTCTCTCCATGCCGACGACGATTCTCCAGCAACTGCAGCACGTTTGTGTGGCAGTCTTTTACTCGATGTTTCATACGGTCCTCTTCGATTTTCCACTTGTCCCTCTGTTGCGTCCTAGAAATCCACGAGCCAACCCTTTTCCGAAGTCTCAGCCGCTTATATTTAGTTTTCCAATCGTAACCTAATGCTTATGCTGCGGTAGCCGTGTGCTTGGGGCCCTCTTTTCTATGCTTGGCGAAAGGATATGGCACGTTGCCGTGGGCGACGACTGTAGCCAGCAAGCTAGGAGCGGCACACTTGGGGTTTTAGCGCACTTGCATCGACTTTCCGAAAATGCACCTGCACTGGCGTTGGAAATTTTGTGCTGTTGCGGACGCATATGGTTCGCAGGTTAGAGTTTCATCAGAGGAACTTGAGCCGCGCTGCGTTGAGGAAAAAGCGGCGGAGGGCCTCGCCCGCGGCGATGATGACGCACGGCCCATACGGAAGAATACCTCCACGGTCCAGGCAAAAGCTGGCAATTTCCGATTTAAGAATGTCGAGGGGTTGTCGTGATAGAAAAATGTGATCTTTTGACGTGCCATGTTGGGATTCTCTCTGGGTCCACAACGTGGATACGTTCCGTTCCGGCCGATGGAGGAAAGAGCGGAGTTTTTTTTCCCCTCAGCGTTTCTCATTTCCTACAGAAGATGATGTCCTATCCAGCGTACTGATCAATTTTTGATCGCCCTACCCTTGACTAGTACATACTTGGAACTCCAGAGGGTTTTACATGTGTGTCTGATCATCAGACGAGGTTTCTCCCTCCAAGTCCTGACATAGTCTCGTCGCTTTAAAAAGCCCTTAATTAAAAATGTTTCTGTGCAAGAAGTGTGCATATTATTTGAAACGTATTCAGGATAACACCCCCCGCATGGAAAGTAAGACAGCATTGTGTAACTTGGACTGCATAAATCTATGTGTATATTCTTCACCAGGCCAGGGCGAAAACCACCACCAGGCAGGTTATGGCCTGATTTTGCCAGGAAACTCTGACGACAAAATCTGTTTCTGGATTCCATGCCGCAGCACTACAGGCACTGATGCCTTCACCGTGCTGCACGAGAGTCACAGTCACTGCATGTTTCAGAAACGCGAATGCATCCAAGTTTTCGATTAGTCGATGGCATCAGTGTGCGTCCTCTTCAGATTCACAACCAAGCCACGATCTCGTCCCATTCAACGAACCTGTAAAGCGATAACGTCTTTCTTTTCCCCTTTCGAAGTGGGCTGTCAGAGCTTCAACCGTATTTGCGCCTATCCGATCAGACCAGTCCCCCGCATCAGCTGTGTCGTACGACGAGTAGGCGCCTATAACTCCTTCGATTACCTGTAAAAGAAAAAATGTCGTCAGACATGCAAATGGCGACTGTAGCTAATGGTGCTCATTTTCGATTTTTACCTCATGAGCGATGCTCGTCACATCTTCCTCGGGTGTCAAAGCGACAGGTGTTGTTACCCCTACTGCCATTTCTGCCGTCAATTGCATTTTTTTGTTTATAAAAATGAGCTACTGGTAGATATATTGTAAGCGGGGCAGAAAGAAGATCGCCTCTTGCGCCCACAAGTAAAAAAGCAGTCTCTGGCGAATACTGCCCAGCCGGTCACATTTATATGAGGTCCATTCATACTTCGCAAACATGTGTCGCACGCTTAGCGCTTATTCCATCAGAAAAGCATGTTGCTTTTTCTTTACCAGCTTCATATGCCAGATGTTGCGCACAACTAGTCAGAAACTATTTGCAGTGGAACGGCCCGCCTCCGGGTGAGGCCAGCCATCAAACATTTGTCTACAACGCCAGAATCTTGAGGACAAGGCACATTTAATGACAAACGTACTCTTTCTTCACACAACTTTTCTGTGAATCGTGGAAACAAATCTATTAAAATGTCGACGAGATGGTCTCATCACGAAAGAGGCGACGGGACTGATCACACTGAGACAGCTGAGGGCGACATTTTCAAAGGGCGCGTGATCAGTGCATGTAAGTTTTCCCCGGGAAAGAGTGCAAAGGAGCCGGAAAGACATAGAAACATATTTTCGGAACTTTCATTGCTGTCACGTCGTCCATCGCTAATAGGCTGTCAACATCCTGGAACACTTGACAACTTCCCTCGCGCTTCAGGAACCTTGAAAAGCAGGGAGGCCCGAGCTGCACGCTTCATGATGCTACACAATACTGATTATGAAAAGGGGACCCGAGTTGATTTTTGTCAGTGCAGAAACGCTAAAAGTGTACTACGCAGTTCGGGCTTCGTAGAGTTTTTCTTTTCCTGCTTGTTTCTCGAGCCCTCGTTTACTCTGCTGTTTCTAGAGCCCTACGTCTTAAAGCACACCAAGAGGTGCCCACCGCCTGTACTGCGGAATGAAGTTTACTTTGTTACACATCCCGCACTCAAGCATAGAACAATCGGAATACGATTTAACACCACCGTCTCCCAGGGAGCTTCTCGCCGAGGCGTTACACGCGACATTTGAGCGATGCCGGCAACTTCCTTCTTGCTCCTTTCCCGCCGCAGCAAGTTTTCAAAATACTCCGGCTCGACTCATCGGATACATGTAATCAACTCACGGCAGCATGGGTGCGGGCAAGAAAGCTCGTGCCAAAGAGCGCAAGACGGGAAAGCTGGCTATGGCTGCACAGGCGGAATTGACCGCGAAGGCAGTGGCACTCCTCCCATCAGGCATGGAAAACCTTGGAGTATTCGACACCTTGAGCGAGGTACCTTTGGAAAACGACACCTCAAATGGGCCTACAAATACGGTTCATCAGCCCATGTCCAGCAGCGACCAAGAAGCGCCAAATCTGCACCACCGCCAGGGATGCGATCAGCATGGACCTGCCGTACAGATCGTCTACCACACGCGGTCAACTTTACCTCCCTCATGGAAGGAGCCCTTATTCTCTCTTTTTAAATCTAACATGAAAGAGCAGTATGAGAGCAATTGGGGCTACCGAGAGGCGGAAAAAAGAAGCGAGATTTTTTCGCAAGAGTCTCGGTACCTTATTGCCGTCCAGACTTCTCCAGGAGACGGCGAGGCGCAGGGTGAGGGCACGCCGGTGGGTTTCGTGCACATCCGCTATGTTCTGGATAGAGACGAAGAGATTCCAACAGCAGTTTTGTACGTATACGAGATTCAGCTGGCTCCAAGCGTGCAACGGCGAGGATTAGGTGCTCGCATGATGAGCGTTGTAGAAAGCATGGCGGTAAAATTGAAAATGAGAAAAATAAAGCTTACGGTTTTCAAAAGCAACGGTGCAGCCCTCGCCTTTTATCTCAATAAATTGGGATACGATGTTGATGGGACGTCGCCGAGTCAACACAAAATTTTGGGTGAGTGTTATGAGATCCTTTCTAAAGATGTGGCTGAGGAAGACAAGAAATTGGCTGCTTCTTGAGCGGCCTCCTGTCTCAGGACTCGACGACTGATAGAATAAGTAAATTTCTGGCAAGTTCCTGCGCGCTCCAATGGGCTTTTTACATTGCGTTTAGTCGTATTTCGATTTAATGTTCAAAAGTGGATGACAACCGCGTCATCGTCTCTCATCCCCTCGTCATCTTCCTCGTCCGCCGCCAAAAACACGTCTCCCGGCAGACTGGACGGGGCCACGTCCCTCTTGGACAAGAAGCTGAGGCCTCGTGGCGAGGGTAATGCCGGTGGTAGCCGTGACAGGACAATTTCTTTAGGGAATCGCCAACGCGAGGACAGAGACGATGCTGTACATGGAGGCTCTGTAGGTGAAGAAGACTCTGATGGTGGTAGTGACGAGGATGCACTTACGACCGCGTCCGTAGAATGCTTTGTTTTCATCATTTTCACGAGTTCGCGATTTGCCGCTTCTCTCTCTTCGTGGCTCCGCTCCCGTTGGCTCTGAAGGATTACGTACTGATAGCTCGTCATCTCGTGAATAGATAAGAACAGGTGGAATAGGAGCATCTGCCCAAGCAAGAAGCTTATGATAGAAGATGAGGTTCCTACAATCACAGTTAAAAAAATGTAAACTTTCACGGGAAGCGTGATAGATGAAAATATACGGGCATTTGATCCGTAAGCCATCCATTGTACAAGAATAACAAAGCTCATGCTGGCCTGAAGGATTGTCACCGAGAAGGCACACCACAGCGTGCAGATAAAAGGAAGATAGTTTCGCTGCCCGATACACGTGTTAAGCCATGCACAATGTTGATCAAAGCCTGCTATACACTTGTTGCACTGTCTACAATGCGCCGTTCCTCTGCCAACGCTTGCTTGGCAAATGTAGCAGTACACTCTCTCTTGCTGCTGCTCTTGTTGCTGTTGATCAACACTTCGATCGAGTACGTCATGACTTTCCTTATCACATGGCGCCATACGTAAAAGAGCCTCATCGCATGGGTCAATAAGTGTGGTATAGATACCTGCAATCAGGGTCAACAGCAAACAAAATCCTAGGATAGAAGGTAATGCGAACGAATACGGATTGAAGCGGGAAGGCATGATCAATAAGAAGCTTGCTGCTGTGAACAGAAAGGCTCCCCATGCCAGCATTTGTAATGTACCAAGCGGGTGCTCGAGTCCATGCCGACGTCGGGCCATATCTATTGTAAGACTATACAAAGTGATTAGATATCAGGTGAGTGGAACGTAGCCTCGAGACCGTTGCGAACCGTTGAGGAGACGCAGCTGCTCGCCGAAAATTTCAAATTATGCGAACCACCGCAGTGCATCAAGTGCGACCACCCCGACGGTCGGGTGCAACCATGGCCTTGCCAAAATTGGACAAGTGAGAAGTCATTTTGAATATAGCCTGTCACTTCTCTTGCTGAAGAGCATCATCATTGCGCAAAATTCTGGGACACCAACATAATACCTCAATGTTTGCTGGTCGTGGCCTTCATTTCGACACCGAGGCATGCGTTCTGTAGCTACACAGGTGACTCCTTGAGGCTCAAACAATTCGGGCATGAGTCTTAGTAAGCATTATGAATGAATTTGTGATAAGCATACTGATACGGAAAATATCCGACTTGTTTCAGAGTCTTTAACGTGCATGACCTCACCCTAGGCATGCGAAGCACACCATCGTCGTCATTCAAAATCGAAACACTCCCAAAAAGTATTCTGCCTTCCCGAGTGATTTAAATTAATTCTTGTCATTGTGCAAATGTGCAAGTTACATAAAAAAATAAGTCTTTGGTTCGAATGCAACCATGAGTCAATTGTAGGTGCTTTTGTATGATTTCTTGAGCACACTAACAGAACACGCATGCCATATCTCGCACAGACCACGAAGACAAAGAAATCTTGTGAGGATGGGAGAAGCTGCTGTTGGTGCACACGGTATCATTATGATTGTCGCGTTCCTCTTCATGACACAACTAGCTGAGGCGATAGCATGGTGGGCATCCAACAAGGTGGGTCGAGAGTTCCGTGGTGCAGCAGAAAGCGAAGCGGGTATGGGGGGGAAGTGGCGGAATAAACATTTAGACATGACTAGGTTGCGAAGGAAGGATAAAGTGAAGATAGGCTTTGTTCAGCACAGGCTTCGAGCCAAGGCGACCATGGGCTCGTTCTATCCCGCGGTCTCCTAGTACCAGGCATTTCCTCCTTCTGCCACCTGTCGGTCTACGTGCTCGTGCTCTTATCCCTCCTACTCTCATTGTGATTTTTTTGCTTTTAACACTCTCTGTCAGACAAATATGCGGACCAACTACTTTAAAGTCATCGAGCATGGATCCAGACTTTGGAACGCCCACAGAGGTCTGAACACGCTGGCCTTCATCCTAGGCCTTGTTGGAATGATCATAATTTTGAGCGCCGAAGAGTTCAAAGAGGCGATGGGCTCCAAGGAGAGGCACGTCATTTACGGATTCTCGATGATAGTTGCCCTGTTCGTGCACATCCTCTTTCGAGTGGCGTATCCGGATGTAAGTTTCAAGCCCACGAGGAATCATCGAATGTCTTTCGTCCCATTCATCCACTTTTTATCAACCGACATGAAAATTTATTCCCTTTTCGGCTGCAGGACAAAACAAAGTGGGTACACCGGTGGTTCGGGCGTGCTATCAACCTGTGGGCGTTCTTCGTGACCTTTACCGGGTACGAGCTCGCCAATTACGGTTCAAACGAAGGAACCGATGCTGGAGGAGAAGATTTTGACAACATTGTTATCATTTTTTGCTTCTGGGTCATCTTGAAGTTCGGGTATGTGCGAAAATCTTACATTTTAACTTTCCTTGTTCTCTACATTTTTTTAAAAAAAACACAATAGTTTCTTGAGCCACGATTTGATTGGATCTTGAAATCCTTTCTCCACTTGTGCCCTTTCATATGTCTTGCTTTTTGCACGACGAAAAAGATATCTTCCCAACACTGCTCACATGTCCATTTCAAACAGCATATGGGTCTTCTACCTGATTCTTCGTAGGCGCGGCAAGGTAATTACACTGGCAAGGATAATATTATCTTGAAGAAAAGCTGAACCATACAATTTATCCACGTGTTGTGAGCTCACTCATTACTCTTCCCCCTTTCTTCCAATCTCAACCTTCCTTTCTGCCGCACGTTACAGGCACAAAAATACGACAGCGTTGGCGCGGCTGAAGGAATTCAACTTCCTACTACCAATGCGATTGAGGTTGGCTCTCCACCGGCTTCTCTGTAACAGACAAGCTGCCATCCACTTTCGTTTTCTGTGCGCACAAGTGCCCTTGTTTGGGATGAAAAGCAACCCGAAAGCATTTGATATGGCTTTAAGAAGTCTGTTTTTATGTTGACCTGGAAAGGACATGAAGAAAAGAGCAAGATCGCGTGCGTTCATTGCTTTTTGAACACATTTGAAGTTATAAATATGGAACAATTAAGTAATTCTACCCTCACCGATGTGTGGGGGCTGGAAAAAAACGGCGACAGGATGCTGCTACCAACGGAAAGCGCCGTCGTCGGATCGAACACTGACTTTTCGAGGGGGAAAATAAAGCAACGTAGAGTACGAAACTTCAAGCCTTCTTCGTTATACGCGATTTTTCTTTTGTGGCTTATCCTTGTAGGCTCTCAAATCCATTTTCAACGCAAATTACGCACCGCCGCAGGCTGGTTTGACCAACGACGAGAAGATCGATCCGGATGGGGGGGGGCTCAGGCTAGCGCTCAATCCCGCGCCCGGGGCGTGTCTTTTTCAAGTTAGGTTTGGCACATTTTAATCAGGTGAGGTGACGGTAATGCCTGAGCAGGAGGTCAAGAAGATCTAGGTGTTTCTTGCCTGCGGAAAAGCTGGTCATGGTTACGGCGCTCGGGCCGTAAAGGAGCGAAGAGCGAAGCGAAACCAACGACGATCTGGCTCAAGTCTGGGACAACACCTTTTGAGTAAAACTGTGCGTTGCAAGTCTGCTGCAGATATCACTTCATTTAAATTAGACTGTTGATGATATGAGCTGTGCATGAGATTTGGTGGATCTGTCTTTGCTGAAAGCCAGTGCCTTTTTTTCGGTCTAGCCCTCAGGCTTTGCCCCTGCTGGTATCTCGGGACAATATTCACTTATATGCCGCCCGGCCCGTCCTATTGGCAGGGCAATCTCACAACTCTCTCCTTTCAATCGCGCCATGTGAGAAAGACCACCAGGAAAACCACAGTTATAACTTTCCGTCAGTAGGTACTGGTCGTGTAGCGGAGTGGAACGTTTGTCATGGCCTTTTTTCCCGCGTGTAAAAATGTCCTGTCAAGAAGATGATCCGGGTGAAGGAGACGGGACTTGACGTATGCCTTTTCGTGAATGCTGGCACTTCTTCACGCGCGGTACTACTCCATTTCATATGTCCTTAGATGAGGCATGAAACTTCAACTGTGTCTCACCAGGCGACCAAATTCGCGGGTGGCTGTCATATTCACTGTTGTCTCACTCAACATATTTATCTCCTTCAGCACCTCCGTGTCACAGGCGCAGTGCAGGCGCATGGCAACCGAGGCCAACGGTGGACCAGTGGATCACCACCGACGGCGGGACGATGACACAGAGCAACAAATGCACCAGCAGAGCAACGAGCAGGCCCCTGGAGCCCATCAGTTCTCAGAAGTCTCGGCAGCCGGCCGGGCTGAGGCTTTCCCTTCCATGCAAGAGGAATTGGTGGAAGGTCGTCCGCTCAGCATGAAACGAGTGCGATCAAGTCAGAGCTGCACATTGGAAGGGCTTTTCTTGGCCCAGGCACCGCCTCCTGATTGCCCACCGTACTTGGACGGCAGGCAGCTGCCTCTGTGGGTAGGCCGGAGCCCCCTGGAGCTCACCCCCGAGAAAGCAGATGAGCTGCACAACATTCAATGGCGGGCCTGGAAGGAGGAGCTGTGTAGCGAGTCCCGCGAGCAAAATGTGGTCGGCATGGAGAGTAGCCTCGGCCGTGAGAAGGGCGGAGCCCACGGCGCAGCAGGGAAGGACTACGCGCGGATCCTGGAGGCCGCCGGCTCGATCTTCAACTCTGCCTTCCTGAAGCTCAATCCCCACAACTTCTCCATCACGGTAGGGATCACCGTGGACGCGATGTACCATACCAAGGCTCCGCTGCTGGCCTGTGCCAATACCTTCCTCTACGGCCTCAGCCTCCTGGCCGACAACCCCTCCAAACAGACGATCCCCATCCAATTCTGTCCCGCCGCCCCCCTCTTCATGGAGGTGTGGGCCCAAGAGACCTTCGGGACTGGGGGCGGAGGGGAGGCCGTGGAGTCCCTCTTCCAGTTCTGCGGGGTCTACCCCCACACGGGCCTGCCGGAGGTGCTGAGCCGGCAGGTGGAGCGTCGCGTCGGGGAGCTGATGGTGGGGACGAGGTACAAGGAAGCGGTGACCTTAATCTCGCGGTTGCTGGAGGCGCCCTGGGCGCAAGGGCACAAGATATGGGAGGAAGATGTCTACTGGAAACTACGCCTGCTCTCCTACACGTGCAAGCGGCGGGCCCGGCACCTCGCCTCGGGGAGCCCCCGCTTCTCGTCCGCTTCCTCCTCCTCCCCCAAGCGCGGGCCGGCAGCCACCTCGAAGGGCACAACCGGCGGTCGAGCGAGGCAAAACGAGACGACACCGACGGTGGTAAGGGTGGTCGTGCTCGTCTTCCCCTCCTCCTCCGGCCGCCTCCCCCGCGAGCTCGAGGAGGGGGAGGCTTCGGGCACCTACGAGGCGGGCTGTTCCTTCGAGCCTGAGGAGCTGGAGGCGTCCTTGACGGCGATGGAGGCGGCCTTTGAAGAGTTCTCCGAGTCCTTCCTGGCCCTGTCTAAGGAGACGGTGAAGTGGGAGCTAGTCCTGGACCGGGCACAGTGCGTGCTGAGGGGGGCCTGTATGCCCGCCCGCCGCTACCACCGCGAGGTGGAGGCCTCCACGAACCCGAACCGGCTCGTGGCTCAGGCAGATTTCGCAGCCTGCCCCAACTTCCGCAAACACTTGGCCGTGGCAAGCGAAACGGACGAAAGAGTGCGGGAAGCTCAAGCCGTCCTGGTGGTGTGGCCCGGATTGAAGGCGCCGCCGGCCGCCTACATGCTGACCTGCGGGGGAATCACGGCCTC